TTTTCAGAGGCCTGCTATTTCAGAAGTGGACGGCCAATCCTTCTTCCTAGTCTGTCTTTATGTGAATGTTCAGATTTAGAGAAGTATCAGACAGACCAGCAAGTTAAAGGTATATCCCTTATTGCGGAGTTAACTTTAGTGTCAAGTGTTGTCCCTGCCTTTCTCACACGCATCAATTGTCCCTGAAATATGATAGCAATCTTAGAATATTTAAAGATAAGCAGAAACTAAGGTAATTTGTAAAAATTGTGTCAATCTTATAAGAAATACAAAACAGAGTTTTTTCAGGGCAAGAACCAACAGCAGCACAGAATTTTGAAAAGTAAAATAAACTCCTAAGACCACAAATATGGAACGAGAGACTTCAGTCAATAAATAAGAATTACTAGACATAGAAAGAGGGACTATATAGAGCTGTTAACAGAACTTCCAAATGGAAAAGAAGTCAAGATGGTTTCAAAATAAAGGGAGATTTTCGATTATAAGGATATAATAGCAATTTAGCAGATAAAAATAAATTAGTAAATGCCATCAAAAATGAAAGGGAAAAATCATATAGTACTAAGTCCCACCAGGTTAACGGTACAATTTCAATGAAAAACCTATATAGTATGTGATTTATATTTCTTTTATATATTTGTTTTGCCCAAGTGATTGTTATTTACTTGATGGAAAATAAAATCCAAAGAATTGAGAAAAAAAAAAGTATCAGCCAACAAACAATAAAGTAAAAGTAATAAACGAAATGATAGAAGAAAAGCCATAACAAAATTAACTCAATACAAAAAATATACAAAGAAATCAGAAGGATTTTAGAAAAAGGCACAGAAAATGACAGCAATAAAATACAGTGTCTCAAAGTGTCTTTAAAATACTAAAGAAAATTGGAATATGTGAGAGATGATGTACAAAAAACACTTAATGACTGGATATGGATGATAGGTCCATGAAGCTTTCTATAATGGTCTGTTTTACATATATTTTAAAAATTCAAAGTATTTTTTTAATAGTATGTCAATGTTGGAGAAAAGAAAAAGTAACCTTGATAGTGGGTTTTCCCCCAAGAAAACAACTATGCACTTTTATTCTACAAAGTTGTCAAAATTTAAAATTAGTTAAGACTCTATACTCCAAATGTATCACTCTTTGCTATCAAATAGGAAGCGACTAATAGCTACCTTCCAGCACATTGTTAGAAGCTGTAAATCGCACAGTGGGAAAATGTCCATCTTTCCCCAAAGAGCAGCTGTTGGATTCAAACTGGCTGCCTTTTAGGTGGCAGCACAACTCCCTATCACTAGGCCACCTGAGCTCCAATGTATAAGATACTATTAAAGCTCAAAAATCAAAACATTACAACTGACCACTTAGTAAGAGCAAAAATTCTCTATAATTGACTACAAAAATAAAAAAGACCCTCATCTCCTTTCTGCTTTAACCCATAATATTCTATTACATCAAGAGTTTTACCAAGTGTATGAAATTTTCTAAGTTCAGAGAACAAAGCATATCTTCCTCTCAAAAGTATATTTCTAGTGGTGTGAACCAACAGTACCAGCATTCAAGCTAAGTCTAGCTCTCAAGCACCCCATGCACAAAAGACCAAAGACCCAGGGAAGGTAGGACAGAACAAAGAAGTTACCAGGGAGGAATTCTGCCAGCCGAGAGCTTGCCCTTCTGTCCTTCACACAGAAGACGATTAGCAACGGCGACTGGGTTTTTAATTCCTGTAAAATAAAATCAGAAGAAAATAAGAAAAATGCCTTCATGTCCCCCACTCTGATTTGTTACTGTTGCTATAAATCAAATTTAAAATAGCTTGTAAAATTCTTTTCCAAAAATCAAATGGTTAACGTAACAGAAATTTACTAACAATTTAGGGAGCTAGAATCCCAAATTCACAGTGCTACTTAGAAGGGAAGGTACTGTCTCTCACTTCTGGGGAAAATTCCTTGTTTTCTTCCATATATAGAGGCCCAGAATTCCTTGGAGATATTCATGTGCCCTGAGCTTCCCTGTTCTGTTCTCCATGACCTCCCTAGCCCATATACCTAAATCCAAAAAGATAGACTCCATTCCTGGTGATTCTTTCTCAATGATACTGAATCCCTCTTCTTGATTCAATTTCCTCCCTTTTTAGATAAGCCACACTCTAGAGAAACACTCTTACTTCACCTCAGAGCTCAGTTGGGATTCAGAATGTTGCATTCTACCCTTATCAGATCGTGGGAAATCATCATAAAACTTCCACATCACATACATGAATTTTGGGGAACTATACAATCCAAACCATGACAAAGCTCAGATACCTCTCTACTAGTTCTTAAAGGATAATTTCTGCATATGATGGTTCCATATTGTAATTTATAACTGCAAAACTGTTAAGTCTGGGCAAAGGGGGCCAAAGAAAAGAATGAAAAATTCAGAACTCAAACACTGACAGCCTTGCCTGCTCCTGATAAGAAGAGCAAATGGCATTGCCTGCCTGGCTGAGCTAGCAGGATCATAAATCAGAGTGGAATGTCCCTCCCTAAAGACTCTGTTATAAAAATCCTCCCCAATAAGCTCACAGTGTGACTTCCCCATTCTGCATCCTCACAATAAGGAACTTCACCTGGGAGCTCCCCTATCTCCTCATCCCCCTTTAATAAAGCTGCATTAAGCTTTCTCTTGTTCTCTCTGATTTCTTCCTTAAGTTCATTAACTTAACACAAACTAATTTATCAATTCAAATCTATAAAATGTCAAAAGTTCAAAAAATAATTCTAAGTTTATTCTTATATTCATAAGAACGAGAAAAGCTTGAAAGAGAATGATAAAGAAAGACCTACCCCATATATTATTAAAGCAATTCTAATTAAGGGTATGTCTTGGAAAGGGTGAAACCAAGTTTCTCCTTGGAGGCAAGGATTTTGAAGCTCTGTCTCAGATACTATGGGCACATGGACAGGAGAGATAGGTCCTTAAAGAAGGACATCATGCTCAGAAGGGTGGAGGGACAGTGCAGGAGAGGAAGACCCTAGATGAGACAAATTGATACAGTAACTAGGGCAATGAGAGTAGGTGTGTCAGAATCCGTGAAATTGGCTCAAGGCAGGCTTCAGAGCTGCTATACATAGGCTCGCTGAGTAACAGGTGAGCCGATGGATGGCACATAACAACAATAATTAAAAGAGTGTAATTTGAGTACAAAACAAATTAATGAAATGCAATCATGGGAAATTTGAGAAATGGGTATGTGAATTTAGTTATTTAACGTATAATGCCATTCCAAAACACTAGGAAATGCTAAATTATATAAGAAAGGAAGGAATAACAGAGTGGAAATCTTAAGAGTCAGTCTATTTCCTGTGTGTGGCAATCATCATTCGATTGGGTTTTTCTGACAAGATGGTAAACCACTCAGCTAGCAGCCTACACTTTCTACCATGAAGACACTTGAAAACAAAAATAACAGATGTGGATGATAAATCCTGGAACCCTAAATTACAAAGGAAATTATAAAAAAATTCAAACACTGAATAAAGAAAGAAATTGAATGAAAACACCAAATAAAGAAACAGGCTGAGTGGGGACTTTTTAATCAACCTGATACAGTAGTCATTTTTAACTTTTTCAAACAGGTTTCTTATCAACATGAAAACCTAGGGCCACAACAGTGTCTGCACTAGCCAGCTGCTGGCTGATGACAAGAGGACAGCAGCAGTATCCACACAATCCAGGTACACACACACACACACACTTTCTGCAGCTTAAGAAAAGTAAAGGCTAGCTCCAGCTACACTTGAGGGACAACAGACTACAACCAACATCAAACCAGTCAGCCTTCAACTGTTATATAGACAACAAACAAAGAACTAAACACACACCTCCATCCTCTAGTACACCAACTGCATTACAGTAAGAAACCTGGGTAGCCAAACTCAGGTTGGTCTAAGTAAACTCCGGTTGGCTTCTAAGTAAAAGCTGACAGTTCCTTTCAATCTATTTTCGACAAGGTTGTGGAGAAACCAGACCTTTCATCCATCACTTTGAAACTGTGCACTCACTGTGGAAAGCATTTGGAAGTTCTTCAAAATGTTAAAGAATTACGATATGATCCTACAATTTCCCTTCTCCAGATATACGTAAGAGAAAGGAAAGTGGGAACTCAGATACTTTTAGTACAATGTTTACAGCAGCATTCTTCACAATAAAGAAGAGGTAGAAATCACTAAAGAGTCCGTGAAGAAATTAATAAATACAACATGGTATGGACAAGTTAATAAAATATCATTCTGCAATAAGGCTTGAAATGTTGTATTAAGAGAAACAAGTGAGATGCAGAAGGGCAATATTATATGATCTCGTATTAATGAAACATTCCAGGGGATCAGCCAGTGCTGCAAGGGGAGTTTTTCTTTTGAGAAATAAAGCATTAGGAAACACAGAGGGTGATATGTGCACAAAATTGTGTGATTAATGACACCAGGTTATACATCTGAAAATGGTTAAAATGGCAAATATTATGTTGTTTACATCTTGTTGTTTTGCTATCATGTCAGAACCAACCCATAGCTAAGCCTCCAGCAGGTCTTGAGCGACAGGATAATATCCATACACATACAAGGAAGTCCAGTGAATACCACTATCATTCAAATACATGCACAAACAACTAGAGCCAAAGAGGAGGAAATAGAAGATTTTTACCAACTTTTGCAGTCAGAAATTGATCAAACATGCAATCAAGATGCATTAATAATAATGGGGGACTGGAATGCAAAAGTTGGCAACAGGAAAGAAGGATCAGTAGCTGGCATACATGGGCTTGGTGAGAGAAATGAGGCTGGAGCTAGAATGAAAGAGTTCTGCACATTCAATGATTTATTCATTGCAAATACTTTTTATAAGAAACATAAATGCAGGCTATACACATGGATTTCACCGGATGGTATGCATAGGACAACAACCTGCATTATGCAGATGACACAACCCTGCTCGCTGAAACTGAGGAGGAACTGAAGTGCTTGCTGCAGAAGGTCAAGGACTGCAGTCTTCAATATGGAATGAAGCTCAATATCAAGAAAACAAAGATTCTCACCAATGGGCCAATTGGCAGCATCAGTATGGATGGTGAAGCGATGGAGATAGTTAACAGTTTTAGTTTGCTTGGTTCCACCGTCAGCACTCTTGGTAACAGCAGCCAGGAAATCAGGAGACGAATTGCACTGGGAAAGTCAGCTGTGAGGGACCTCTCAAGGGTACTGAAGCACAACGACGTCAGGCTAGAGATTAAGGTGCGCCTGATCCAGGCTATAGTCTTTGCAATTACGTGCTATGCATCGGAGAGTTGGACAGTGAATAGGGATAACAGAAAGAGAATTAATGCCTTTGAGTTGAGGTGCTGGAGAAGAGCTGAATATACCATGGACTGCTAGGAGAACAAACAGGTTTGTCCTGGAGAGGGTGAAGCCAGAATGTTCCCTGGAGTCAAGGATTCTGAAGCTTTGTCTGACATACTTTGGGCATATTGCAAGGAGGGACTGGTCCTTGGAGAAGGACATCATGTTTGGGAGAGTGGAGAGACAGCGCAGGAGAGGAAGACCCTCAATGAGATGGATCGATTCTGTGAGTGGAGTGGTGGGAATGAGTGTGTTTGAGACAGCGAGGTTGGCACAGGATAGAACAGCGTTTAGGGCTCTTGTACATAGGGTCGCTATGAGTCGCAAACGACTCGACAAATAACAACAACAACAATCTCACAGGAGGAGCCTGCCCATCCTTCTTAGATCTTACTACAATTTTTTCTTTTAAAAGTGCACAACAAAACTATGTCTCTATTATATCGAGCTTCAGAAAAGTACGGACCACCAGAAGCAAGGTTCTCAGCTAGTCATTTATTTTTCCCTTACTTCTCTACCCCAAAGTTAAACACATTACTTACTTAGTGTGACTACTGACTATAAATTGGCATATTTTCCATGAATTTCTGGTCCCAAAGCACACATTCTTTCTCACTAAAGCTGTAACTATAATTCTGATAAAGGGGCTCTAGAAATTGGAAATTAAAAGGGGGAAAAGGACAAAAATGAAGAACCTGAACCTGAAGTAAGCCCCCAAAAGTCTGTGACTCTCAGACTCGCATTGAAGAACCTAGTTGGAAGGCTCAGTAGTGTCAGAGATTGAAGAAGAAACAATGAATTGGTACGGCAAGGATTTGAGAGTTTTCTCCTTCTCAATGGCTCATAAAAATTTGATTAGCACAGGCTTTGTACTAACAGGCCACCAGAGCTCCCTTGATAATCACTGAAAAGCAATTTATACTGACTGATCTCTGATTATTCTCCTAAACTGTAGAGATCTATTTGCTGATTTTGCACAGGATAAATATCAAAGTTTGACACTAGCAACCAGAAAACAATTTTTAACTTTTCACTGGCTAGACAAATCGCTGGCTTTCTTTCACTGTCTATGACTGGCTAACCATCTTTAATTAAACATTTAAACTGAAATGTGAAGTTAGAATGTGAACTGAAAATGAAAATTCACCTTTGTAAGAAACATCAATAATTCAATTCTTTACTTTTTTTTTTTAACCACAGTGCAAAAAATATACAACATTTTGCTCCCAAATATCATCATCATCTTTTGGATAGACATTACATTATGGTAAGGGACCTTGGTGGCCTAACAATAAGCAGGAGGCTGCTAAATGCAGGGTGGCAATTCCTTTCAAGATTACAGCCTAGAAAAGCAGGTCTAGTCTTGTCACATGAGGTCATTTTCATTTGAAAACAGACTTGATGGCATTTAACAACAACTTTATACAAATATACAGATAAATGCCCTAAAATCTATTTTTTTTTAATCTCCAGGAAACAAAGGATGGGAAGGAAAGATATGGAAAAGGAAGGAAGAGTAAAATTTCCTTCAATCATATGAGTCTATTTGAGGTTTTTTGCACACTTCAAATTTTTAAAAAATCACGTAATATGCTAACTCAAGTCTTAAGCATCTGTAACTTGAGAAGAGGATGGAGGAGAATAACCAAATTCAGACCAAAGATTTGGCCAATGGCTACTTCACTTTCAAATTACTCACAGCTAAACTTTCATGTTTTAAATTCAGAAAAAGGAGAAAAACATTTTTTCAACATTCATCCATACAAGAATGGTGTCAGAGATGGAACTGCATCTTTAGAAAAAAATCAGAAGCTAATTTTTTTACATTTCTAAGTGCCCACATACCACTCAGTGCTCCAACTGCTCCAAAATGCAAAGATTTTCCATCCATTATGCTGGCATCACATTCCACCTTACCCAAAAGATTGAGATTAGATCCCATTCCTGCATTTGTAAAAGGAGAATCCTAAAAGACAAAATTTTAAATATCATTTGTTGTAAGAAAGGAAATATGCATGAGAATGACTGAAACACAATGTGAATGAAAAATAGGGTAAAACACAATGTATATAAACTTTGTAAGCAAAGCAACTAAAAAAATAATGTAAAATAGAATGTATAAGAATGATTATATGAAACATAATGTAAATGAACGATGGTATCAAACACAATATATATGAATGAAACATAATGTAAAGTCATTATTATATGAAAACCAATAAAAAATATTTAAAAAAAGAAAAGGCATATGTGTAAAAATGAAAGTTTAATAGTGGTTATTACATGGATTGGGAAGGAAAACGAGTAAGTAGATTAATAGTGACAGAAAAATCACATTAATTATGAGTATGGCTATAAAATCAACTGATGTCAGTCTATGTAGGTGTAAAAAGCAGGAAAAAATTTATATGACAGATATAATAACAAGTAACTGCTCAAACTGCTTATATAATCAAAAACTTCACAGGGGGTTGGTTTAGAGGATTAGGGTCATGGTTTCATGAAGCTTCCCAGTTAAATGGCTAATATGTTTAGTGTTTCTGTACTAATTCCTACTTTGTTGCATATTGCCCAGGGTCTTAAAAGTTACCAAGCAACCACTCAAGACAAAATAACTGATTTCTATTCATTTATGGCAAAAAAGTCAGGCACTGAAGGAGAAAATGAAATGGAGCTATTTCCTCCATGAGCAACTGTCCCCCCTCATGAGACAAGAACTGAAAATTAACCAGATATCACTACTGAACATTTTGATCAAAAAATCTTGATCAAAAGGTGAAAAATTAAGGACAGGATTTCAAAGTCTCCCCAGACTCCAAATTGTCTAACGTCAGGAAAACTGGATGAATTCCTCAATTTAATGTCATGCAATATTCTTTAAACTTTACACTATAAAAACCTTCTTTAATCTTTATAAAATCTAATAATTTTTATTGCTGTTAGGTGCCTAGCTTAATTAGTAAAAATACCCAACCTGAGCATTATATACTCATTATAGAACTGTTTGGATCAAAGTAATAAGAGCCACTCAAAAGACTAGATAGGAAAGCCTGGAGTCTATACGTTACTGTTGTGTCATTGTTGTTAAGTGCTGTCCAGCTGAGTACAACCCTATGAACAACAACTGTTCATAGAAGTCTGTCCTATACTGAGCCATCTCCACAATCTCTGACACATCTGAGCCCGGATCTTCCTCTCATCGACCCTCAATCTGCCCAAGCATGATGTCCTTCCCCAAACAGGAAACTTTCCTAACAACATGCCCAAAGTATATGAAACAAAGTTTACTATCTTTGCCTCCAATGAGCACTCTGGCTGCATCTTCTCCAAGACATATCTGTTTGTTTTGGAAATCCATGGGATATTCAATACTCCTCAATATCACAGTTTAAAGGCATCAATTCTTTGAGAATTATTCAATTACTATCAGTTATTCAAGAATCTGGAGGACTCTGCAGAAGAATGTGGCTTCACTACTGGAGAAAGATTTATCAATAATCTTCATTATGCAAATGACACAACCTTGAAGCTGAAATTGAGTCAGATTTGAAGCATTTGATACACAAGATGAAACACCACAGCCTTTAACATGGATTGTATTTCAAAGGCAAGAAAACAAAAATTCTCACCACTAAACATCATGATAGACAAAAACTGAAATTGTCCACAACTTCATCTTACTTGGATCCACAGTCAATGAACTTGCTAACAGCAGTCAAGATATCAGGAGACATACTGCACTGGGAAAGTCTGCAGTAAGGGATGTCTCCAAATTTTTGAGGAGCAATAATATTAGTTTAATATAATATTAGTAAAAAAAGATTAATACATTAAAACAACTGGATTTCTATACACTATCAAATTATGCTCATGCAAAACCTAAACACAGACTAAGAAGCAGTTGAATAATTTAAAAATCAGGAAACATTTGTGTCAGAATTGTTTTCTTTTCCACATCTATTTAATCTGTATGCTGAGCAAATCATTCCAGAAACTAGACTCTATAAAAGAGAATGTGGCATCAGGCTTGGCGTAACAATCTGGCATCAGGTTTGGAGTAACAATCATCAATAATTTGCATTATGCAGTTAGCACAATTGGTTGTTGAAAATAATGAGAGTTTGAAATAGTTGTTGTTGAAGATCAATTAATACAGCCTTCCATATGGATTGCATTTCACTAACAAAAGAAAAATTCTCACCACTGAACCAACAGCCAACATCATAATATCCATCTATTAGGATGGACTGAAAGTTATCAATGATTTCCTTTTACTTGGATCCAAAATCAGCATCCACAGAAGCAGCAGTCAAGACATCATAATACATGTTGTATTAGGACAATCTGCTGTGAAGGGCCTCTCCAAGTCTAAAGAGCAAGAATGTCAGTTTAAAAACTAAAGTATGCCTGATCCAAGCCATGGTCTTTTCAAATGTTTCCTATACATCTCAAAGTTGGACAATGAATAAGGATGACAGAAGAATAAATCCTTTGAATTGTGGTGTTGTAGTTAGTGGGGTACTGAAAGTCCTATAGAGTGTCAAAAGAATAAACAAGCCTGTCTTAGAGGAAATGTAATGAGAATGCTCCTTAGATTTAAGGATGGTGAAATTTCATCTCACATGCTTTGGGCATGTAGGTAGATGTCGGTCCTTGGAAAAAGAAATCATGCTGGGAATGGCAGAGGGTTAGAGAAAAAGAAGAAGATTCACGCACTCCTCCCAAAAAGATGAACAGACACAATGACCGTACCAATGGGCTCAAGAGTATCAGAGATGATAGGATGAAGCAGGATAGAGCAAAGTTCACATCTTCTGTTCACTGGGTTGCTTTGAGTAAAAGCTGACTCAATGGCACCTAACAAGAACAGCAAACAACAAGGAGCACAATAGCTGAACTTCTTCAAAGACAAGATTTGTTTGGACTTTTTTTTGGGGGGGGGCAGTCTGTTATTTTCAATCTTTGTCATCAATACCACAATTCAAAGGCACTGATTCTTCTCTTGTCTTCCTCATTCCTTGTCAACATTAAGCAGTCCCGGTGGCACAGCGTGTAGATGGATGCACTACTAATCTAAAGCCCTCACCTCCCTGGCAGTTCAATCCACAAGTGGGTGTGTGCGGGAAAGATGGGCAAAATCCTCCTGTGCCATTTACAGCCCCGGAAACCCAATGTGGGGTCAGCCGTGAGTAAACTGCAACAGAATAGCAATGACTTCTTGGGTTTTTGTGGATTGTTGTTTCATTTTAGTGGTGTTTTGTTTGGGTTTGGTTTTTGGGTTTTGGGGTTTTTTTTTTCTTTTTTTTAGCTATTCAATGTCATCCATAATTTATTATAATCCACATATTTGAAAGCTTTTGCATACTCAATAAAATATAAGTAACCGCCTTTCAGTGTACTGTGCTTTCAGATAAAATATATCTGATATCAGCAATAATGACCTTATTTCAACAGGTTTTTTGAGTGCAGCTTGAATTTCTGGCAATTCCTGGTCAATGTGTTGCACCAGGCATTTTTAAATAATTTTCAGCAAGATTTTACTGGCATGTGCTATTGAAAATATTGTGTAATGATCTCCGATGATGTAACTGCTCTATCTTTGGGTTCCCCAGAAGTTTTACTGCATCTTTTTCCTTTAGAATTGTTACTATCTTTCTACAGTTTTTTTCTATTTCCCTCCCTATAAAGCAAAGGTATGCTCTTGCCTTACAGCTATGTATTCCTATGTGGAAAATCAAGGTGTCCATAATATAAAGTGCAACCTAATATCCAATTCCTGGACCTTTTGCTTACACATATGGAGTCTCACTAGTTTTAGAACGATAGGCCAATGTACCTTATACCACTGTGGTATCGTACCTAATCTACACCAATCCATTAGTACAGAGACACTGATAAAGAAATGCTTTAGAAATGTATTGCCACTATGGGAAGAATGGCTGTTAATAATACTAATTACAGTTACCATCATTATAATTGGCCAATATTTTCACCCAGAGACCAATAAAAACAGCTTATGTATATTACTGAAACTTACTGTCAAGAGTTTGGGGTTTTTTTACCCTTACTCTGAAGGTGCCTTAACAGCAAATTAGGTCGTCTAATGTAATCCTATTCCTAAGAGGATCTCTGAAGACCGAGTGCTACAATAAAGTTTGGTGAGAAAATTAAATTAGACCATGCCCAGCTGTGAAATAGTTAAGTGCTTTAAATATTCTTCCCTTTATGCAAGCCAAGTTATGTAATCTCCATAATATTGGTTGTGGATGAAGCTTCCTCCAAATTCTGAGCAACATTCTTCATATATTCCAACTTCTTAAATTATTTGCTCAGTAGACTGAATAAATATGGAGAAAGGATACGCTGACACTTCAATTTTCTGATTTTAAACCATGGAATATCTCCTTGTTCTGTTTGAACAAATGCCTCTTGGTACACATAGAGGTTTCACACTCACACTATGAAGTGTCCTGAATTCTTATTCTTTGAAGCATTATCTATAATTTGTTATGATGCATACACTCAACACTTTTGAATAGTCAATAAAACAAAAATAAACATCTTTCTCGTATTCTCAGCTTTTTAACCAAGATTACATTAGCAATGACACCTCTCATTCCATGACCTCTCCTGAACTCAGCTTGAATTTCTGAAAATTCAAATATCAATAATTTTCAGTTATTTCCACACTCTTTTGGATTACCAGAGCTGCATCTATTTATGTAATACCTCAGCTGGCATTTTATAAATTTCTGAGACCTTTTTTTTTGCCAGTGCCTTCAACATAGCTCGGACTTAAGCACCCCTGGTTCTTGATCGTATGCTACATCCTGAAATGGTTCAGCATTAAATAATCTCTTTTTGGTACTGTAACTATATTATGTTTCATCTTCTTTCAATGTTTCCTGCATTATTAAATATTTTTCCCCAAGTATCCTTCAGTATTGCAGCTCAGACTTGAATCTG